AGAAAAAATACTATGCACCCATGCACACATACACTGAGGAAATTATGCAATATAATGTCAAAAGTAAGTTGATTTAAAAAGCAAGGGGCAATTAACTTTGAGGTGGAGTTCCTACAAGAGTTCCATGTGGAGAGTAAAATAATGCAAACTCTTTGGAAGATAAAAATATTTTTAGGGTCCTTTAAGTGTGTGTTTCATACTGTAGCATGATTTGATCATTTCTGTGCTAAGTGTAGGTAAGTTCTAAACACACAAATTTGGAGAGGCTGTTGAGTTAGAGGTTGCCCCATGGAAATGGAACCTCTACATGGAGGGCTAGAGCAGCCTAAGGGGTAATTCATGGCTGCTGATGTTTTCTGAATTGTTTTAAATTATTAGGAAATATTACATAAAAATTTTAGCTTAAAAATTAAGATCTGATAATGTGAGACCACTGACTTGAGAAAGTGAGTAGCCACTGCATCTTTATTTATTTATTTTTTGGAAAGATTTTTGCTATAGGGCATGAGCACTTGCCAGAGACAGAATGATACAGAGACGGAAAGTGAAAAATCACCCCCTAGCGGGATTGGCCACACATCAATCCCTTCTCCTCCATTCTCCTTTCAGGATTTTGGGCACAAATGCACATGGGCCCCGTTTGAGTTTAAGCAACTGGGTCAGGGCCTTGAACCACAGTCAACTACGTGTGAGTTCAGCAACATAACCATTATGCCATCTGCTGGTCCCGCCAGTGAACATTATTAAAGTTTCCTTCACTTCCTGAATTCTCGCATCTTTTACATCAGATCAAATCCTTACAATCATTCATGCACCCTCTAGGCAACTGATTTTGTGACTGTTCTACCCAACCCTCTTTAAAATTACTCCAGAGAAGTGTCACCCAAACATTCATCTTTTAACTTATCTTTTTTAATTTTTAAAAAAGTTTATTCATTAATTTCTTCAGAAAGAGAGAGAGATGGGCACCCCACTCTAGAATCTACCCTCAGTTTTAGCCATTCTATATTAGGATGCGCAAGGACATCCCAGGAAGTCCCCAGCTGGATTACTAAACCAAAGTCTTCCCCTCGTGGATCTAGATACATTACTATTGCACTGCCATTGATCCTCATCTTTTAACTTGTTTTTTAGTATTTGTCAACTTTGATTCCGTCATGCTTGGTGAAATTACTTGACAATCTCATTATGCGTTCTTCATTGCCATCCATCTCTAGCCATACCTCAACCCAACCTTTGACATAGACACTAGTTTGGTGTTTGTCCTGAGCTTTCTTGGGATACTTCTCAACCACTCCAATTTGGGGGTTTATCTTCCCTTTTCTGCCTCAGTATGAAAGTTAACATTGGTCTCATAGGTAGAGGCACCCAATATTGTCCTATATCCATCTAAATGACTGGATGTGACTAGCTTCTTACCTTCAGTGTGCCCATAGTGGGTTGATTTATGAATGACTTCAGTTTCCCCTGTATCTTTGTACCTGCATCTTTTAGTAACGAGTTCCTTCCCACTGCGGTCTTTGCGCTTGACTTTTTATCTTGTTTTGAGCAGTGTGATCTTAACAAGGTGACACAAACAAAAGCTTTAAAGTGCACTTGTACATTTCTACTTTCTTTCTTGTCTCTGATTGCCTTGAAATCATACTTCCACTTGGCTGAGATCATGCCCGTGCGCTCCTGTTGAAGGCATTTGAAAGACATGTGCAAGAGGAACTAGAAAAAGAGCTTGTTTGTCTCAGTTGAGTCTATCTTATGCCAGCCTGTAGTCAGTGGACCCCCAAGCGGTCCACTGCCAAGATCAGCCGTGTCACCTTCGCAACATGCAGCTGACTGCTTGAGACCAGAATTGTCACGCTGACCCACAGAATAGGCAGTAATAAAGGTCTATTGTTTTTAGCCACCAAGCTTTGGAGTAGGTATATATTATTAATATAGCAATGGATAATTGATGCTGTATCCTAATTAGTGATATTTTGGTTGTGTTCGTAATGTACTTTTTCTTATAAGAAATGTTGCTATAGGAAGAGCATGAGCATTTACGGACTAAACGATACACCAAGTAAATATTCTTACTATATTTTGAAGTTTTCCAGAAGCAAAGGAACAGAAAATAATTGAAGGGTTGCTTTGGGGTAGATTGTTTTGATTTTGGAGAAAGTAAACATGTCTCATCTAAAAATTGAACATGTTCTGGGGACATTTAAACCAATGTTTGTGTTGTAAATGGTATTCCAGACCCATTTCCACATAGGTAGGGGGATCTTGGGTTGGCATACAGAAAATATTTCCGACAAACTATTGCATTCACTGTTGCTTTGAGGTCTCTATGCAGAAATGTGAGTGGAAATAAGTGCATTGGGGAACCTCAGAAGGTTTGGCAGTGCATTTTAGATGCTTATCTGAGCCACACGAGTTAGGAATCTGGAATAGAAGTCTCCTAAGAATAACCATTCTCTCAAAATTTCCATTCCCTCTTGTTTTTGGCAGAATTAAAAATTCCGTGGAAATGGCTCATGTTGCAAGACTTCTGTGTGGTGCTGGCCAGCGCCGGGAAGGAGAGCAGCCCAGGAAAGGAAAACCAAGGCAATGTGGTTGCATGTTTTCACGCCTTTGAAAAGGTTTGGGTTTGGCTCAAACCAAGAAAAAGCATTTGGGGTTTTTATTTTGTACCAGCTTTTTCAAATACCATTCACCTGACTCATGAAGCTTTGCACATCAGGAGGAAACAAGGGAGTGAATAAATTTTCAATATTCTTGATATCCAAACATACTTTGTGTGAGATTCCTTGCTGGGAGGATGAACAGAATATAGCTAGAGAATGCTGTACTCAGACCTCCCTTGCTGGAGATCGAAGTGGCAAAGCAATTGGTTCATCAGCCAAGTCATTACACACCAGTAATACAGGTGATACAAAGGTATACAAGGCTTAGGGGTTTTTTTTGTTGTTTGTTTTCTTTCTTTATACAGGTCACATGGTTGGACAAGAGAAACAAGCCCAAACCAAATGATCCTGCTCTGTTCCAAAATTCCACTGGAATTTTAGAATCCAATCATACACACTTGTGTTTTTGGGAATAACTTTGCCAACTCATCTCACTATTGCATATGCTAATTACATTGCCTGGAATGCTTTTGCCACCTGTTGTCTGCTTGGCAAATTCTAATTTCTCCCCTAAACCCAGTTCAGAATCAACCTTTATCTTTCCAAACTTAATTAACTCTTCTTTCATCTTTGCTACCTCTCTACTTTGTACATATTTACATCATCGGATGTAGCACACAAAAATGTGTTCTTAACACAATGCCTGGGGCAGAATAGATGCTTGATAAATGTAAATGGATTGCCTAATACACTACTGCAAAAACTTTTCCTATTCTGTAACACATGAGCTCACAATCAACCTTAGCGTCACCCTTATTTCTCAACCCTATACTAATCAACCATTTGTCATTCCCAGCATGACTTTGGTCTCGGTGACTTCCACACATCCTCTCTAGCCTCTAGGTCACTCTGTCAGCCTTCTTATGTGAAAATATAAAAGTCCAGCAAATGCTCACGGGTTAGTACTTTTTGATGGGCTGGTCTAATTCTAAGGTGATAATTTAAAAAGATTTTAGCTTCTGGACTCTAGCATCATTTACAGCATTGAAATTACTTGATGTCTAATATCATAATATCTAGATTTGAAACACAGAAACTCCCATGAAGTTAAAACAGGATAAAGATAATCCAATTTAGTTTATTTTTCAGGTTGCCAGTGGCTGGATACTTCATCAGATTAAAGCATGAGATGGTATTAATGAATCAAAGGTCAGGGGTTCACATCTCTGTCTGGTCCCATTAGCACTATTATTTTTCACGTTCCTTATTCATTCCCTTCCCTTGGTCTCAGACAAGTTTTCTACAAGTAAGTGCAATTGGGTAAAGGAATATCCAGAAAACTCACTCTTATTTCTAGAAAAACCAGCTGACAGTTTATGTGTTATTGCTGTGTCTGTGTGTGTGTATGTGTGTGTGTGTATACATATGCACGAGACAGTCATTTTTGTATGTGCACAGAAATAAGTGGCTGTCTGTCATATAATTTGAAAAGCCTTCATTGTTTCAGTCAGTTGGAAGGATTATGTTACGTGAATACTGATATTTAACGTACATTATCACATTTATTACCGTATCAAAACCAGATGTTTAAAATTTGGGCTAGAAATTCCATAGCACAGATCATATTACCTCAGGGTCACCCCACCACCTAATGCTCACTGCTCAGCTGTATTTTGTTAGGGCTTTAATAGAGCAATAATGTGTTTCCACAAGTCTTAGTCTGGTATTAGATGACATGTGGGCTAATTTTGGTCGGTTGAGCAGACTGGTAGGGGGTTATACAAACCAGAGCAATTTGCTTTCCCAACAATAAGGAAACATGTGAAGAATTATTACTAATAGTCAAGGCATCTCTTTCTCTTTCTTTTGCTGTTTTTCTCCCCTTGTCTCTCTTTCACTCTTTACCTTTCTCTCCTTTATTTGAAATTGGTTGTCATTTTTGTTGTCTCCAAATGTCTCTTAGACTTCTTCCAGAACAGAATCTACCTCTAATTACTTTCAGCTCTCATCCAAAGCTCCTTAAAACTTTTCTCCTGTTTGACTTTCTTACATTGCTTCTATCCTGGTAAAACAAGCAAGTTCCAAAAACCAATAACATTCCCAATTCTAAAAATTATAACCAATGCAGTTTAGATAAGGTAAGAAACAAGAAATAAAAGCTTATGTGGAATGGAGCCAACGATTCATCTGTCTGCATTAATAGGTTCCAGCAATGGTACTTACTACAGGCACGGAAAGCCTGTTTGCCACTGCATTTAGCAAGCACATGAGCTTAAAAATAAACTTTGACAATGTAGATCTCTTTGTCCTTTCAGGAATGGAAAACATTATGTACTTCAAAGCATACTAAGCCTGATTTGAAAATATAGTGGGGATATTGTTTCTCCGGCAATTGGGAGGGGACTTGAGTCTGCTCACAGTACATAGATGGGTATGGGTATGTGTAAACAGCCACACGCTAGTAGGAATAAATGATGATGGCAAGTTCGACATGGTCATTCATAAGGAAGAAACTGTCTTCTAAGTTGTCTGGAATGACCGGGATATAGTTCCTCTTTTTAATCAGGGAATTTCTTCCTGAACCTAACTGCACAAACAGAGGACTTGAGTAGCACATTTCACTTGCATACAGCAGCGTTTGTTCATTTTGAGTGTTTTTGGACAGGAAATCGATCTACAGGGTAAAATTCACACAAAAAGGAAACAGTATGGGACGATGGCTTGTTAGTGCAAGTGGCTCTGCTTTGGAAATTACGGATAAGAAACGTTGGAGGGAGAACAGCATTAAAGATGAAAAGCAGGATGACTCCTGATAAAAACATCACCAAATGATGAACCCACGAGCAAAAAGGAACTTCTACTGTAAGTATCTTTGCAACAATCAGATGCATATTATTTGTTTTCAAAATTTCTTGAGTTTGCTGAGTAGATTTCCAAGCAAGTATTTCATGTAGGGAGTTTTCATTATAGACAGATCTATAATTAAATTCATTGGGAGGTTCCAACAGAGGATTAGTTACTGGAATTTTTTCCATGGCCTTGCAACACTACCAATAAATTGCATGTTAATTCAGGCATGTTTTATACAATAGGCAGGTTATATTAGGATTTTATTGTGTGATGCATTGTTCTGGCAGTGCAAAACTGATCAACCCATATATGTATAAATTCCATTGCATATGGGTTCTGGTCATTTATGTTTACTTTGGTTGCATGTTGTGGTTAACCCTGTACTCAATTTGTTAACATGTAGATTCACATATATTATTTGTAATTTACTTCAAGAGAATTTTGTTATTTCCTGAGTGAATCTTACTTGTATAGTAGAGAAGAGATGGCTTAAAATCTTGAAAGTGGAGAGGAACAGGTTTGATAGCTTAAACTAAATATGAGAAACTAAAACCTAAATCTTTTTTATGTTTCCATAGACTATTTGGCAAGCAGTTTCCTTTGAAAATTATTTAGATGTCCCTTATACGATTTCTCATCTCACAAGAATATTGTCATGGCCTTAGAAATGTAAAATAAGCTCATCGAAAACATAATCCTATATAAATAAGAAATAGAGTGATCCTTCCTTAGCACTTGGTGCATAGTTTGCACTTAATAGATATTTTCTGAATGTAAGTAAATGCTTGTGTTGGATAAAAAAAAAACACATATCCTAATTTATAGTAATTGTTTTATGTCAGGATTTTACTTTCTAAACTTATCCATGATTGTGATTAAGTTATGTTTAACAAGAACCATATAATAATAGGGCTATACTGTGTTGCCTTTTTAAATAAGAAAAAAATTTTAAACATCAAATTTCTAATTAATTGCTATTCTTTGTTATTTTTTGGGGGGATACTAAAGAATCTGTTCTGTGTATTGTTTATTTCAAAGGGTATCACCAAGTTTTCAGAGCCTATCAGTATATAAATTAACTAGGTATCAGCTCATTTTCATTTAGTATGTGGTGTTCAGGTGCTAGTTTATGTTCTCAGGACTTGGGATTAGCACTTTTGAAGGCTCCTTGGCTAGGAGGTTAGTGGGTAGATCAAGACACCAGCCTAGTCTTCATGTTGGGGGAGATCATTCCTTTTAAGTGTAGGGACATGAAAATAAACCGAGAAGTGAGCGGAGAAAGAGGCTCTGGGAGTCAAATTGCATGTTCCTGGAGTGACAAAGAAGTCAAAGATAATGGGGGGAGGAATTGGTGTGGGAGAGAGCTAGAAGAATGAACTCAGTATAGCTGCCACCACCATCTCATGATGCCAGATAACAGTGTTACAGTACTCCAAGGTTTTATTAGGTAACTTGGTATAGACACTTGTTAAACTGAACATGTCTTTCTGCTACTACAAGTAGGGAACTAGCAGGCTGTACGTGTGAGTTTATTGCATCTGATTAGAAATGGTGAGATTGGGATCAGCAGTTAGCGTAATGGCTATGTTGCTGAACTCCCATGTAGTCAACCGCGGTTCGAGTCCTGAACCCAGTGGCTTAAACTCACGCTGGGCGTGTGTTCATGCATGCCCAAGATCCCGAGAGGAGAATGGAGGAGAAGGGATTGAGGCATGGCCATCCTCCCGGGGGGGATTTCTTGCTTTCTGTCTCTCTGTCTCTCTCTCCTTCTGGTGAGCACATATTCCCTGTAATGAAAACCCTCTCTCAAAAACAAACAAACAAACAAACAAAAAGCAATGGTGTAATCATCTCAGTAGAAACTGACATGAGCTGCAAATAGTAGCAATTATCATTAAGGTAGTATGCTTTTGGATAATATAAAACTTGGTTATAATCTTAACATTTGAATACGCTTGAGGTGTGTGTGTGTGTGTGTGTGTGTGTGTGTGTGTGTGTGTGTGTGTGTATGTGTGTGATCATAATACATGACAGTAAGTGAGCTTAAATGATCCCGTTAAGAGTTCAATGCAGTCTATTTACAGGTAAATTAATCCAGGTCAATCTGTCACAAAGTAATTCTAATTAGAATAAGATAGTCTACAGAAATTGCTTGGAAGTTCTTTTAAGACTCACAAGGTCGGGGCCAGCAGGTAGTGCAGTGTTTAAGGCACTGGATTCCCACATGGTTGAGCATAGTTTGAATCCCAGAGCTGGAGACTTGAAACATGCCAGACACCCAAAATCATGCAATTCTGGGTGTGCACATACCCCAAATCCTCAAAGGAGAATGGAGAAGAAGGAATTGTGGCATGACCATCTCGCCTGGGGGGTTATTTCTCGTTTTCTGTCTCTCTGGCGCGCACACACACACCCTATAGTAAAAATGTCTGAGAAAGAATCACAAGATTAGTTGATTGTAACCTCATCAGCATGAATACTTTTCAGGCTAAACTAATATGGATTTATTATACAGAGTGCTGAGCCCTCAACCAAGGAATGGCGCAACTAGAGAAATCCTGTCTTTTAAGTTTTTCTTAGGACAGGAAGGTATTTGACTATCATATCAAAACCAAGTAAATAATACATAACAGAATGATTATGATTTTGGAAATTATTTTCAAAAGGCAAACTAAACTGTAAGTTTAGACTCCTCCCACCACAGCAGGATCAGGATGTAATTTTTGATGATAAATGATAACTTGAATTTTCATGGTATGCTGTAGTTTTTTTTCTGGTTAGTTGTTGGACATCAAGTGATTTATAACCAGAGCCATCCAAAAAATTTTTGTGCCGTTAGAATAAGCTTCATGCCAGTGCTGATATATTGTAGATGAGGAGGTTCAGCAAGGAGAAAAAAGAAAGTGTTCTGGGTTAGACAAAATGTGGGTTAAAATTCTAGATTCTCCAGTTGTAAACTGAGACTTTGGTCAAATTACCTAGTCACTAGACCTCTGGTTCTCCATATATAAAATGGAATTGATAATTGTTCTGTCTATGAATTTTTGTGAAGATTAAATGAGAAAATTTATGTCAACTGTCCAGGATATGGTAAGCAGATGATAAGATAGTTAAACTACATGGGCTATAGGGATCTTTGAGTTTAATTTTGAAGATCTAGAAATTCTAGCTCTTTATAGTAATCTGAATTCCTTGATCGTGCTTAGCACCATACAAAGATGCAACTCAATAGAGATATCCATTCTCTAACTAGTGAAGAAAATTGTGGTCCAGCCTAGTGACACAGCTAGTAGCAAACTGAATTACAGTGCTGGAAGTCTCATGGCTGACTGTGGGCTCAGGTCCTTAGGTGAGCTTGAAAACATACCTAGTATGTATGCACACATATACCCACAACCCTGAGGAAGTGGTGAAGTGGAAAAATGGGATTGAGGAATGACAAGACCTTGTCAAAGTGTGTCTGTCTCTCTCTCTCCAGCATACATATCATGGATAAAATAAATAAACTTTAAGACAACTGAAAACTGTAAAGCTAAACTACAAGTGTGGTAAAAGAATGAGTACAGCAATCAGAATGCATGAATTAGAAGTAATGAGAGGTGTTTTGCTTGTTGTTTTAGAAGTGTTAGGTGATCTAAATCAATTTGAATGACCATTCTACAGTCCTCGATGATTAAGACCGTGGAAACACTGGACTGACCACTGCTAATTAATTTTCTCATTCATTTTTTATATATAAAACCTGTGTCTAATTATCTTAGGAAAGCCACTTAACCAGCCAAGTCATTCTTAAGCAGAAATTATATTTTGAAAGTTGAAGGGCTGAAAATGTTCATCTTCAAAAAGTGTCCTGCGATATTATTTTATAGTGCAGTATTTGTGAAAATATAAGCTTTTGTGGGTAGTATGTCTTGATGATTTAACTTATTGTGTCCATTTGTTCTGAGTACATGTGGAAACCCTGTACAGAATACCATTCTTACACTATTGCTTAAACTCACCTAAGCGGTGTTTACACATCACAGATACGAAATAACAACTTAGCCATTAGATTTGCTATCTGGAGAATCACCATGAATTGGGAGAAGGTCAGCAGTGGCTATTAAAGAAAATACTATCTTGCCCCGAATATGCCATTTTCTTTTCAAAACATTATTACTTTTATAATTTCATGTTTTTCTCACCCTTGAAGTGGAAAAGGAAAACACATTCACTCCATTTCATGCACAATGTAAATGATAAACCTTGAGGTTAAGCGTAATTGTGTAATACGGAGGTTGGATATGAAGGAGCAAGACTTTGCATCTAATAAAATGCATGTAATAGTTTTACGACCTTCTCTGATTTTTGTTTAGGAATTTGTGATTCATCTATTTCTCTTATGCCTTAATAGATTTCAGCACTAACACTTTGTACTGTACCATGCACAGAGGCAACTGGGTTCACCCTCGGTCAGGTGTGCAGAAAAACCTGCATGTCTGTATTCTCGGTCTTCTCTACCACATGCATATCCCAAACACTTCAACAGAGTGAAGGTGTTCATATTGATTCATTTCAATTTTTTATTTTACAAGGAGTCAGGGATACACCTGTGTTCTTGGCTACCGTCCCAGGCTACAGAAATGACATGGATTTGGACAACTGGTCTTATATATGTGTGTCTCAAGTTCAAAGTGACATCAGCAGCTAAAACTCTACTCCATAGTCCTCAAAGGTTAACAAGATTTAGAGGCTCATAGGCATAGATTTCAAGACTTGGGGCATAGTTACATCTGTTGACTTCAGTCTAGTAATCAGATATTTTCTTTGGTATGGCTGAAGGTTTTATCTGAGAGGAACCACAGTCTATGGGTTTAAAAGAAAAACAAAAAACTATAAAGCAGTGGGTTGAAAATATTTCACACACATTACCCACTAGGAGATTTATACGTGAAATCGGTTGACTTTTTCATATCAATAGCTTCATACATCTTAATTTTCATTCAAAAGCTTAATAGTATGTATTTTGTATA